CATCACTTTCCCCTTAAGTTTGTTCAATACCATGGGGACATGCTCATGGTGTGATTTTGGTACCACTGTCCTCACCATGCCTCCCTGCTGACCCGTGACTTTTGGGAACTGTATGGATTAAATTATAACACCACAGCCCTTCTTAGTTATGGGTTAGGCTTGGTTTTACCATCTGCTTCAACAGGAACACTGGCTTCTCAGCACTTCTAAAGTCAATATAACTTTACAACACAGGGTTCTGTTCAAAACCATGCTTTTTTATCAGACACATAGAAAGAGGTGGCACATAGCTTCGTACGGGGATCACACCATTTTATAAGAAGTTTAAGTGTGAAGCCCAGAACAACACCTACTTCCATTTTTCACCAGTTAAGTTAGACTGATGCACTGAGAAAGTGCAGCAAAATTGCTTTCTTACTGCTTCAAGTGAAACTGAAAACTTTTGTAAGTCTTAAGTCTTTTCATGGTCATTTCTGTGAGAGAACCAAATAAATGCTGCAACATAACTACTTTCCAGGAATTAGTTCATAGAATGATTTGGTTTGGAAGGGACCTTAAAGATCATCTAATTCCCTGCTATGGGCAGGGACACCTTCCACTAGACGAGGTCAAGCCAAGCCATGTCCAGCCTGGCCTTGAACACTTCCAGGGATCCGCAGCTTCTCTGGGCATCCTGTTTCAGTGTCTCATCTCGATCACAGTAAAGAACTTCGTCATAATATATATATAATCCAAATACATAATCTCTTTAAAGCCGTTACCCCTTGTTCTTTAATCAACTATTCAGAATTTTGGGTATATTTTTAACATATTTAGAAGCAGATTTTTGCTGAGGTGTGAAAGTGGTGTGTTCTTCCTTGTGCAGTAACAGAAATCTGTAGTTCTGTAGAGTACAAAATAGCCAGATATGTACAAGGATACAGGAGATGACATGCCTACACTGATAATTCTAAAAGTACAATTTTGCTGCAGAATGTATATTATAGGATCTTTTCTGAAAGCTTTTGTGTTTACAGAGTAAAAGGGTATTTATATCATAAGATATTTAGATCTGACTGTTGTATGGGTGCAAGTTCAGTGAGCAGGAAAGTGCCTCAGCCATCTATCTGATTAGTCATAACTGTAGTTATGCTCTCTCAAAAGTGGAGGAACTGTTCAGTCCAAGTCGCTTAGAATTGCCTCAGCGCAGCCAGGGTCCTGGGGAAGAACCTGGCTGGACCTCCTGGTGTCCTGATTATTTACAATGGAGGGAAAAAAATTGGTATGTCTGTGTTCAGTACATTCTTACTTGTTCCCCTAGTGTGTGGAAAACAGCATTGCATTTGCTACCATTTGACTGTCATCTTTCAACAGAAATTTACTTTAAAGATCAGTTTGAGGGATCTATGCACAATAGCTACAAGAAAATGACGTATTAATAGAAAATAATTTTTTAAAATGATAAATACATAAAAGGAGATCTCCCTCATCAACTTTGCTCCTGTCCATAAAGAAATATTTTCAAAATAACTTCTACCATAGCTAGCAAAAAACCCACAGCAAGTTAATTCTGCCTTATGCATCATCAGCAAACCCATCAGTTACATGTCCACCACAGAATCTTGTAAATGATGGTTACATATGTAGATGCATTCCAACTTATAACTCAGCTTTCAGATGAAAAGTTAAAAGAAAAAAAAATTAAATGTTTACAGCTAGTTGGCTAATCTCACAATTTTTAGATGTCATTGTTCAAGTTGTCCTTTGCACTCGGAATAGAATGGGGAAAAGGCTCCTTTTATATTTTTGTATAGAGTTGTCAATTTTTTAACATTATTACAGAACAAACAGCAAGCAAAACCCAATTTTTTTTTCCTCTTTTCCACTCTTTCATTTTTGATGATAATTGTTTATGAATGTAGGGGTAGTACTCATTGCAGATCAACAAATTCATACAACCAACTCTATGTATCTGGAGCTTACAGATTGCATACAAGCATTCTTTTCCTCTTTTGATTTCAAAGACAGGTTAAGCTATCCAGTAATTTTTCTTTCTTTAAATACCTCAGTGGCCTCCTAACCAGAGTAATTACACAATACACTATATGTGTACTCCTATGACTGTTCAGCAGTTACCACTGATAGAGTTCTAGTGAAATTTGTAGACTCAGTCAAAGTATATGTTGTGTCATTTAGCTAATGGATGTTTTCACTTGTTTGTCAAGTGGAATACTAATTATTTCTGTAAACTGTACAAGACTACGAGTAACAGTGAATGACTATTTCAGGCATTTTTCTGTGACACAGTGAATCATCTACTAAGAGTTATTTTGCTTTTGAAATCAGTATTAGTCAGATATCACCAGTGTAGAATGATTAGCTTGTGAAAAAGGTGGCTACAAACTAAGACGGACATGTATTTTTTTTCCATACTGAAGACTAAGAAGCCTGCACAAATTTTGCTTATGTCTTCATTGAAAGCTCATTGAGGTCAATCTGAACATTCTTTTTACCCTTCAGGCTTCCTCAGAAAATGAGGATGTTTCCACATGCTAATTTACAGAAGAAACAAAGTATGCCAGTACTGTATGCTCAATGACAATTACTCAGTCAAAATTCTAGTCTGGGGGAAACAGTATGAATAAGTTGTGTGTAAGGATGAAAACAAATCCAGACAATGATCTAGTCCAAAAAAGACACATCAAGACCTTCAGTTTTGGAACACTATGCTATAGAAAAATACCAACAGAACAAAAATGGGTTAATCCCATGTAATATTAAGTGTAAATAAGGCATTCTCAATGCTCTGTTTCCTTTCTTTATCAATAAGCAGAGACAGACACCCCAGAGCACAATTCAGATTCAAAGGGAACTAAATCACCACATGGAGGTCTGTGCTGCTTTGCCCTTCTGTGTTGATAATATCAGGAGCTTACAATGGCAGTTCTTCAAGAAAGATGTCTAGCATTAATTAAGATGAATTTGAAGAGTGTTGGCGGATTATGTAATGTAGAATAAAATGTGGGTTTTTTGGGTCTTCTCTCTATGATGTTGTGTTTTGTTGCACTCAGTGCTTAGGCCCAATCTTAGTTTATTTGGAGATATTTTGTGCATTCCAAAATAGCACAAAATTAAACTTTGATTCTGTCATTCAGCTTGATCAAATCCAAGATTCGAAAGTGGTAAAGCACTTGATGCCTCAGGATTTTACAGACTAAACAGGAGCTGCAGAATTTAAATCCCATAATATTATAGAACTTTAATTGAAAGTTATAAGTAACTGTAAATAATGCAAAATAAATTATTTAATTATGACAAGAATCCCTCAAAGTCTTGAAATAATAGCAGTTGTGCTTTTATTTCTGTGAAATAAAGCAGATCTGTTAGGAGCTTGCTTGTTTCAAACACAGGATCTCTATTTTCCATTCTGAAATATTCCTATGCACTGCTCTCCACACATTAACAGATAGATCTAGAAGTAGGCCAGAGAGCACACATAAGTACCTTGCACATCCATTCTACCAGCTTCCACCCTGCCCTTGTCCTGCTTCTCAATTGCTGGAATCACGGCACTGTGTATGGGTAGTTTTCCTCTGAGTGTATACTATTAGAATTGAGGTCTACTTCAGACACTACTTTAATGCTTCCTTAAGTGATGGAACAATGAAAAGGCTGTGCAGCCTCTGGAAGGTCAATTAGAGAATATTTTAAATATCCATTTATTATTTGCAAACAAATAATGTATAAATTCAATTAGAGTTTTTCTGACTGATTGCTTTCTGGGAAAAACTGTGTGCATGAACACAAAGACGATGTTTCCCTCAACTTTGGCAGGAGAAAATAATGTTGCATAGAGTTTTTCTTTCCTTAGATATAGAAATTTTTAAAGGTGGCTTTAGTAAAATCTGCTGTAAAAGAAGCATGCAAAAAGTCTTGCCAGAAATAGCTGTCAATACAGATTATTTAACTGAAACAAATATAGATAAAACTGTTTCTAGTAGAATATGGATTTATGGGATGCGCCACACCTTTTTCACCTTTGCTAGCACTGGGGATCATTTGCTTACATCCGTATTAGAACTACTTAAGGGCCAAAGCCTTTGAGAAAACTTAATGAAAAGTTACAATGACAAGTAATAAAGACCCCGACTTGTTTCTTGTATTAATGCCTTTGCTTATCTTTAGGCAACTATTGTGTTGTGATAACACAGACATATTACCACATATGAATCTATTCTTTTTTCTGTATTTTTCTGTTGTTTGGTATCATGGTATTTGTTGTGGTTTTAAAAATATTTTTACATTTTTCAAGTTCAAGAGTTCTTAAAAAGCTTTGTGTAAGTGCTGCTTAAAGAGCATAGGATAAGGACTCATGCTACTGAAAAAATGGTTAGTTGTTTGTGAAAGGCAGAACAGAAATCATGTCTATTACAGGGAGAGCAGAAGTATTAAAGCCCAATCAGAAGTCTTTTTGGCGACCCATCAAACATGGTTTCTATGGAAACCTAGATAATTATACAGTGATTTTCATGCTATTTTAGTTATTAATTTGGTAGTGACATAATATTTCCTTTGTTAATCTTTTTAGATGTTTCTACATAGTTATTTCTAAAATAATTAGGTCAGCATCTTTCCCGTACTACATGCAGGGAAATCTTTGTGCAGCTGATGTAATAGAACATTTAAAACTAGACACAGACACCAATGAAATTAATAATCGTTTGAATAGCCTGTTTACTGTGGTCCACAGAACAAAATCATAAAGGTTAGAGAGTTCAATCTAAATTATCTTCTGAGTGTGAGATACACATCTGTAGTCATCTTGTCATCTTCTAAAAATTAGAAATAATCAAAGACTAAATGTTAGCTCAGAAAGCTGCCCCTCACAGAGCCTCATTAAAATGGAGTGTCATCAACAGATTATTTATAAGCAAATCCTCCTAGTTTTTTAATATGCATAGAAAAAAATAAATTAAGAAAATAAACAACATGATTGAGAGATTTCTGTTGTTTTACTGCACCTTGGAAGATGAGTCAGGGCTTCAGGTACTAGTGATCTTTTCAAGTTACAGTCAGACCTTTCCTGATTTTTGAGCACCGGTTGTGGGTCATTTATTAACCTGAAAATCAGTAGCTCAAAACTGAATTTAGATAAAGATTGGCAAAGTTAAATTTGAATAAATTAGAAAGACAAATAAACTTACCCACAGTTTTTGTTCTCTGTTGTACCACACAGTATTTTAATATTTCGTATGGTATGTAACTCTACATTCTAGGTCATTTTTTTCTGCAGTAGAAGGTACTGAAAATTCAGTAATCAGAATATGCATATTTAACTGAAGTGTATAAATAGATTAAAAACCAAACTCCTCCTCAAGAAGGAGATAGAATGTCTCTCAGGTTCTTTCCCAATGTTGTCCCCAGTAAGTATCTCTCAGATATCAAATGCTGCTAATATTCACAATAATCTTGACAACTTTTCATTAAGGATGCATTGAGAACATTCAGGATACACAATATTTTGCAAAATATTATGCACTATAAAAATGCCTTTGGGAGAACAATTTTCAGCTTTTGTTATCATAACATCTTGTATTGCAGTAAAAATATTATTGAATACCATTACCAGCAAAGGGTGTTCTTGCAGCAAAGACAAATTACCAATACGAAAGGAGGAAAAAAAGTAATAATTTTGAGTCCTATAACATTTGGATTGTTAGAAACACAATTCTAAAAGACTGCATCTCCATAGCATCTTTTCTTTAGCAATCATAGTTTGAATTTTGTAGGACATAAATAAAATCAAGCTATTGCTACACATGTAAAACAGCTCATAAAATTCCTCAAAATGAGTCTAAATTCCTCAAAGTTAATCCCATCCTTGTTTTTCAGGAACACAGCACAAGATAATAGAATTGGCTGTAAAGAATACGTAAATTCTTAGTAAATTAAGATCAAATTAGCAAAGCCTGCTTTAATTTTCTCTGTCCTGTTTCTGTACATAGGGACAGAATTGGGGCCATAACATATAATTCTGTAATTGTCTTGTGAACTCCATGGTATAATAAAGGGGGTTTTGTAAAAATCTCAAAATCTCTTCTCTAAAGAGCAAGGACGTAAAGAATGTCAAAGAGAAATAGAATACCATATTCTGTTACACAAAAAAAAAACAACCTAAAGCTTAACACATTTTAATATGTGCAACATGTATTTGAGATATGTATGTCTTCAAAAGCATCAGCACATGAAAAAACATCTGCAGAAATAAAAGAAAAACTTTTGGGGATTGATACATAGGGAGCTATGGAGGTAAACTCAACAGGCATGCAAAGACATGCAAATTATTAGGATGTGGGCTCTCTAGTAAGCTTTACCATTGGTTTATAAACACACATGCACACATACATCTGCTGCTGAATCACAGGCTTTAAGTAGGTATCTTGTGTGAAAATGTAAATGTTACTTATGCAAATTATGCATGTTACCTTCACAACAGATCTGGAATACAACCAGTCTTCAGGTTGTGAAATACTGTATCATCATACTGGTAAAAGAAATCTTAGGTTTTGATTTGGTTTTGGGAGGACTTCAATAAAAGCAGGTGAAGTTCCTTTAAAGGGACAATTTTATATATATAATAAGTGTTAAAAACCTCTGTTCTCCATCTCTTTCGTTACAGGAAGGCATTATGTTTCACGTTTTCTTTTACCTTTGCAGTAAAAAGAAAAACCTGCTACTCACATGTTGCCTTTGAGAATGTTATATCATTTTGGACAGTAACACAGTAGCAGATAGAATGCCATGTGTAACAACGGATGACTGATTATGTTGAGGATGTTTCTTCACCATTTAAAATTCAATGCCTGGCAGCAAACCATCATCACTCACAATTCCTGGCTCCAAAATGAAGTTGTCGTTAACATGCAGACTTTTAAAAGTCTTTCATTGACTCATTCATTAGGCTGACAAACTGTTTATTTTACTAAAATTTCGTGTTTATGGTAATTGCTGACACATTTAACTATATTATTAGATGGCATCAGTTATTCTGGTTCCCTAATGAACAGCAACTCATTATGCTGACTTGTGATCAACACAGCTCTTTAGTGATTTGTTCACTTTCATTGTTTGTTTTGTATTCCAACTGTATTTTAAGGGTGTGAAGTTTAGCAAAGTTCATACCTGAAAACAGAAAGTGAAGAGTTACAAAAAGGTGTTGATACAATTCTGACCATACCAGCAGAAATTAGCGTCAGCCACCAGGAATTACTCACTCACGCTCTGTTTGTATTAGGCATAACTTTACAGAATATTGAAAAGACATCTCAGAGGCTTTGGCAGAGTTAGGGATGTGATATGAGATGATCTGGAAAGAAGACAGATTTCAGTGCATTTACAATGGATTTTAAAAGAAAAAATTCTCATTTTTCTCTTCTGTACGTTTGCTATCCCACTGGAACTCACTGTAGTGTTTAGACAGGTGTTTTTCAAACAGGTGAAGATTAGAGGCTCAGTCATCCAAACACAATATCACATTTGAGTGATAAACTAATACATGTAAAAGTTTAACGTCCGTGGATTCCTCTAACTCACCTGTTTGTGATATTCTTTTTGTTAGCAATAGAGGCCCCGTGCCAGAGTTGTCACATGCCAAAATTACTTACTGAGCTTAAATAAAGAAAGTAGATCATTAAATGTATGGTTCATTATGAAAATGTTACCTGTAAACTCAATATCTGATAATTGCTTGTGGACTTCCACAAAGGTCTTTCCAAAACATACAGGTACAACTATTTAATAGTCACAACCATTAAATGTCAACTTGATGTCAAAGAGTGTTAAAGATTAATCTCTAAATGGTGTCTGAGCCTTAATAAATTTGTATTTCTGGCACAGTTAGCAAGTACTGCTTTCCATTCTCCCTCTCCCCTGAAAAGTAGAAATCTGTACATAAAGACCCTTCAGGATATAATCCAAATAAGCAGCACTTCGATTAATAGGTTCTGTATTTCCATTGGCAATTAAAGCCTTCTTCTAAAATAGGTTAAAAATAGTAATTTATATTGGGTTTTTGTTATCTCTCAACCTCAGTGAAATATCTAGCCGTGTACTTATAACTCAAATTTAAGCTTAAAGTTGAATATATTCTCCTATTCTTTGAAGAAAAAAAAAAAAAGCTGGGTATTTTTATGTTTATGTAAGCTCTAAATTTTGGCAATAAAAATGAGAAATTGCATATACTGTATATTACAGTGGAGTCACAGCAATAAGAAAAAAGAAATTAGTATTCATTTAGTAAGCATTTAAGTAGAAATCATGGGTGAGCTTTGCAGACTGAAAACTTAACAACAGGCTTGAGACCAAATTTTCAGTTCCTTTGGGCAAAAAATGCTGTCATAATTACATTCTACAGCAAAGTAGTGTGTTTACTAATATATTATAAAAGGAATATAATGAGGTTGAAAAGGGATGAGGCTATTTAAAGTTGTCCAATACAGAATGATCTCCTGTAATTGCAGGCATTCTTCTTCTTTGCTGAGCTCTATTGCAGTCCTTTGCATCTTGGACTACTCTTTTCAGCAAACTTCTGCTCATCATTAGCCTACAGATAGCGTTCTAAACAGACAGAGGCTGGACATCAGTGCTCATACAGCCAGTCATTTAACCAGCTTGACAGAAACTACCCTTGTAAAGCAGCAACAGAGTGTATGCTTACATTTTGCTCACTGGCTGTTTGGACAATCTTTCTCTTTCTTAAGAGAATACGGAATGTAGCAGCTGAACTGATGTACCAATAGAAATGCACACTTACAGGATTTACCTCTGCTGCCCAAATCCAGCAAACCCCACTGGCAACCTGCAGCAATATCTGTGTAATTACTGGTCAGAATTTTTCACCACTGTTGCTGAGACTGCCCTCATCCTCCCATTTAATAGTAAGTCCATCCCTTGTCTCTATCCCTCACAATGTCAAGAGTACTCCATAAAAATAAGGAACATGATGACAGTACCCCAAGACTGAGAGGAATCAAAGAAATAAAATAGTTTCAGATGTTGCCAAGGATGTTAACAGCTTTGACAGTAACTAGTGGCCTTCATTCTTTTCTGTATAGGTGATTGACAGAGGTACCAACAATGACAACACCTACGCAGCAAATGAAAAGTTTAAATGATGCTGTATTTGTGCACATAGCGGCAGCAATATTGAAGGGTAACACTCATAATAATAATAACAACAAACAGAGAAAAGACCACTGATGAACCAAAGATTTCACAGCGCAACTTGAAACGCAAGAAGTGTATACCACTGTCGCAAAGTGATCTGACTTTTACCTTACCTTAAACACTTTTTCTAAATTTAAGTTTTCCAGAAGGGAAAACAATAGGAAGTTTCCCCTTACCTAAACTTCCCACCCATAAAGGTGTTTTATCCAACATCCAGAGACTCAGAAACCAGATGTGTCCATCTAGCTTGTGATTTGGAGAACAAACCTGTCTGCTTCATTTTATAAACAAAAGGGTGTTACAATATTTTGAAACAGCACAACTTTATCATTTCAATAATATGCAGTGTTATTTTCACTGATACTTTCAATATTATTAAAAATCCTAGAGAATATGCTTATATTCAGCATCTTGAACAGTTATATAAAATATCATCTTTAGTTCATAAAAAGACAAACATCTACTTAAGAAGTAAATAACAATGCAGTAATAAAATCCAAAAGGGAACAGATTACATACTCATTTAAGTTGTCAGAAAGCTTTTGCACTGATCTATATATATTCATCTGCAGAATAAACTCCTTGCTGTAAGTGTAAACATTGTGCAATAGAAGGAGTAAAACAGATTTCTATCTCTGTGTTACTGCATAATTGTAGCATTGCACAGTGGTCTTCATTTGGGCTTCTCAAAATGTTCAAGTAAGTCCATCATGTTCCATCTGTCTCCTCTTCATAGCTGCAAACCTCTCTCCTTTGTTCTCAGAAAGATTATCTAAAGCACAACAAGCAGCTGCCATAAGAAACAGATAATTCTAATCAGTTTCTAGCCTACGTGTCTGTGTCTTCTATTTATTCACCCTTTAGTCTTTAAAATGCATATTCTATTGTTTTTCTCAAAAAGTGCTTTTTTTCCCTTTTGGGTGCCTAATAAAGAATCCATCAGCTCAGTCAACACATAAAAAGCTGTTCCTAGTAAACGGTATGCTGTGACTTTTTCTTGCTTTTCTTGCTTTGGTTATACATCACATATTCGTATATGGAATAATCCCTCTACAAGCTAGACTTACAGGACCTGGAATGAAAAGGGTAGAATTTGTGAGGTGGCCTCAGAGCCACCTTCAAGGTGGCTTCAAGGGGATCTCGGAGCCTACGTTCTGGATCAGAAAAAGTCAGCTTTCTGATATCAGTCTTTGTTTTCCATGTCTTCTAATGATGAAGATTGTGATCATTATCATTATACTGTGGAGTCCTCTTAGATAACTGATGATGAAAACAAATGTGAATTAAAATTTCTGGGAAAAACATAAGCTTAATGCAGACAGTGAGGACTGGCTGTGAAAGCACATTAAAAGATTGCAAGTAAGATATAAATAAGGCAAGCAGAAATGAGTTTCTTCAGTGTCTGCAAATAAAATTCACTTCTGACAGGGCTTGGGTATAACTGCAACAGAACATACGTTTTATGGAAAAATAAACTGGAAATAAAAATTTTACCTGTGCGCTTTCCAAAGGGCAGTACCTTTCATGCCTATGGGGAACAAGCAGTAACTCCTATGAATCAAGTTTTAGATGGCTCTAACCTGCATTTACTATTGGTCTGAGTTTCACAGCAGGATAAGCAGTGCAGGAAAGACCATTCTTCCTGAATATTACTTACCTGTAAATTTCTGAGAAATTAGTTTTTGTTTAAAGTGCTATTAACCAGAAAATTTTGCAACTGGAAGAAGGTAATTTGGCTTGTTCTGAAGCAGTCGTTTTAAGAGCAGCAATAAAAGAACAGCAAAATAGAGTTGCATTCAAGATGCAAACAAATGAGAGGCTGTCAAAGAGATGTAAAAAAGGATGGAAGTGTAAGGAAAATTCATGATGAATACCCTTGAGAATCAAATGAAAAAGTAAAATCTGATAAGGAGTGAGTTTTGACCACCAGAATTGAAGGAAAACTAGGAGGAAAATTCCAAAACCCTATTCCACAAAAAAACTGTCATAATAGGAAGGAACTAGAAAAAGGAAAGTTGTCAGGTTTTGAGAATAATATAAATCAAAATTAATATTAACAATAAAATAAAATCCATTTATCTTTAAAATGTGATATAACTTGAGTTAGATTGAAAACAAACAAAATCATTTTATCAGTAGCTTATATTATGCTGTAACACTGTAATGGTTGTAAGGTTATAAATCATCTAAGACTGACCCTGTCTTGAGCGTGTGTAAAACTGTACTGAATCAACTCTTTTCCTAAACATTTATTTAATTCCATGGCCTACCTTATATGGGAATCAAAAATGTGGCAAACGAGATATGTTGCAAACTATCTGAATAGAATGAAGCTAAGCTTTTTTACCACCAAAGATGCACAAAAGTAGCTGCTCAAACCTAATAAGATGCCATAAGGGAATACAGACATTTAGGATTTTCCAGGTATTGAAAGATACTACACATTTCAGTGTGGTTTGGAAACACACTTACTGTAGGCAGCTTTGGTACAGAATACATGTAAACATTAGAGTACTTCAAGGACAGGAGCTGCAAGCTTGTTTACAACAAATAAATGCATGTAATGAGACTGAAGTGTGCCTAGGCTAGGATAGACATATTGCTGATTCATGCTCCTTCAGAGAAAATGTGTGCTCTTGGACCACAACTAACGTGTGCTTACTGGATTACTATTACAAGGTCTTTTAATGCAGGCAGAGTATTTCAGGGGAGAATCTTTCCATTCTGGTTTTGTTTATTCTTTCATTAAAAATCCATTACTTCTCTCAGTACAGCAGGACACTGAATTAGAGGAGCTTTTTCCCTAATCCAGTATGGATGTTGGCCATTTTTGGGTCCTTTTAGAAAATTTATCCATGCAATTTGAGATTTTTTGTTTGCTTGGTTGGTTGGTTGGTTTGGGGGGCTTTTTTTCTTTTACAAAGCTGATTATTAAAATTCAAGTTTAGCAAGTTTAAAATCTGTCAAGTAGATAACTGAACAACTCAGCGGTAGTGGTATAATACCAGGCTTTGGAAACTGAATAAAATTTTCCATGAGTGTCCTGGTTTTGGTCAGTTTGGTTTCAAGTTACCTCAAAACAAACTTAGGCTCAGACAGTCCTAGAGGCAGTTTGCATTTTTTAGGTTTTCTTCATTTTTAGTAAAAATTAATAAAAGTCCTTATATTTATGGTAACAGGGTAACTGTGGACTACATCCTGTCACTAGGAAATGAAATATATGTATACTTGGTTACAATCAATACCTATGTATCCAATTCCTATCCTGATTCTACATGCTGGATGAGTTGCTTATACACATTTAACAAATATTCTGATAATGAATCTTTCAATCATTAATTCAACTTGCTTGAGGGATTATGGGTGCTTTGCGTAACAACTGTTACAGCCTTAAGAGTGTTTCAAATTACTGCAAGAAACACAAAGCATGATGTTCCAAAACGTATCAGGTGTATTAAATTGGAAGCATGCATTTGAATTTTCCAGCACAACACATAAAACTATTAATAGCTTAATTATTCTTCCTGAGAAATTATAAATATGTAATATTACCTAATTCTGTAATGCCCAGTGTGTGAACAGTATCTGGTGGTATTTCCAGAATAGTTACTGACTTCTTGTGTGAGCAGTCTTAGCTGCAACAGTATTCATGCACTGAAGTTGGAAGGCCAAGATTTACTTTGTATACCAACAGAGATCTGGAGGCAGACTGAAAGGAGACAAAAATACAGGTGGTTTTTTTGGACATACAGATTGATGTGTGCAAGGACTTTTTTATGTAAATGCATTGAGCTGAATTCTCCCTACAGCAGGACTCTACTTGGGCAGTCTCAATGACTGGAGTTGTCTTATTGCAGCTCCACTTCTCACTTCACAAAGCGCAGCAGCAGGAGTAGAAAGGCTTTCACTCAGTTTCAACAAATATCTATATACAGTTGGTCATTTCACAATATCCTGTTCTGCTTAACAAGATGTTCTGCAGTTTCTGGAAGTCACATGGCTTACTAGTGGAAGTTTATTTTTATAAGTTGAGCTTTTGCAACCATTAGATACATATACTGATCTTTGAAAGAAGGAAAATACTTATTTAAACACTATGGGTAAGCAATAATGGTATCAACAAGGGTAAAGATACAATTGGAATACAGGAAAAGGTGACATTTCCAGCTGAAGAGAAATTCAGAATTCATTTCTGACATTGTGGGATTGCTATGTAGTGAAAGAAAACTCCCTGAGCTGCTAAATTTTGTCCTCCTCATTCTTTTCACTGTCTTGTATGCAGGTAATTTCTATATCCTGGAATTTGGTTGTTCCCACAGCATTAAAGCCTTCTATAAGGAATGAAAGGTGCAAATTGAAAGTTCTCATTGTAATTCTTAAATTTGATATATTATATATATCATATCTTTTGTCATTTTAACATTTTGGAAATTGCATGCCTACTTAAACTAGTAATTTTTTTTTTTTTTAAATGCTATTTATGAAAAAGATGCTTTTCTGTTGAAAAATGTTCAGGAAAAAAAAAAAAACCTAGGTTTCATGAAAGACCTGAGAAAGCATCGCAGAGCTGGGGAAAACAGAAGCATTTGTTTTTTAGCGACTTCAAACCTCAGTTTCAGGGTGTTTGGACAGGACAGACATTTTATTATTGGTCAGAGTATTTTCTAATTGTCCCTTCACTCCTTTACGTGCTGCAGTTTCTTCGCATCCCTTGTTCTTTTTCTTTGCCTATTCTTTATTATTTACACAAGAATTAGAAGTTCTGTCAGAAAACATTAGGCTTTTAGGCATTGGGTAAGGTGGTTATCTACATCTTCACCTTTAGTAGAACCAGACTACACAGCTCAGTAGTGTGTCATAGGAAGAAGATGATGACAATTCAGAGGACATGTATTATCGTTTAAAAAACAACATACAATATTTCCATATGCATCTCATAAAGTGAATGAAAAAACATTTTTGTGTCACTTCAGTTATATCAGTGCAGTTTACAACTTCCAGTATGAAAAACTGTTTGCCTCTGTACAAAGCAGGGCATTCTCTAACATCACTTCGATTTCATTCTAACATCACTTTAATTTCAAGGATTTAAGACTGGCAGCATCTTAATATTAACTTTTTTGGCAAGTAGTGAGCACCTTCTGCCAGTTTCAGGAAAAAAAGACCATGCATCTATCAGACTTCTAAAAAATATTATATGCCTCCCAATATGAAGAGTAGGAACTGTTCTATAGCCACATTTTATTTTGGTGTAAAGATTGAGAATTTTCTTTAAACATCTTGAGTGAACTCTTCCAAATCTTCATTTCCTTAAGGGGAGAGTTAAAGCCACTATAGTGGTATTGTATGTCTCACATCCCTGCCCGTGTACTTCCTGGAAAGTTAACATGGTTGTCTATTTGAGTTTTACCCGTAGGTATTTACTATAGTTGATGGACTATCCACAATTACAGTCGCATCAGAAAAGTTTAAAAACACAAACAGCAACTGGCAGTACAAAACCATCAAATCATAATTTAGTCTGTAATTTGTTCTAACATCACCATTCAGTGGTAGGATATGTGGAAACTACTGAGAACGCTTAATATATAGACTGACTATATAGATGCTCACTTCTGTAATAATACAAGTGCTAAGCTTATACCACAGAATCTCACTGATCCTGATAAAATTAATCCCCATTGATTTCAACATATTCATTAGCTAGTTCCTGTAGCTAACTAGTTAATACACAAGAAAAGTAATTACACAAGCTCAATGTTAAAGTCCAAAGAAAACGCTGTTATGCTACCTAATCCTGAAGACACTAAGCAGCTCTACTTTTGGCTTCAGCCTCTGGTGCGTTATTGTAGACCTCCAGAGGCTGTACCTGTAAACAGCAATTTTCTCTAGAAAATCTGAAAGTCAGACATAGTTGGCAAACACTTACAAATAAAAATACAAACCGGTATAAAATAGATTATAATAAATTGATTATTAAAAAGGATAGTTAATGTACAGTACTTGCAAACTGTTTTCCAAATGGTTCTTCTTATGTCCATTTCTATGGCATGTTACACAGCATGGCAAAGGGGTTATTATACTCTACAGTACTTATTTCTGTACCACATGTGGAGGTAGGTTATGAACAGTAGTTAGTTTTGGCACATAAAATACTCAAGCAAACAAAGATTCCTGGAATTCAACTGAAAACTTCCAGTAAAACAAAGATTGCACTTGCAAAAGTTCAAATGATACCTAAAGTAAACATGACTAATCTCTAGATATTACATGCTGCTGCCTTTACTTTTTGTTTTCCAAGTGCAGTGGTAGTAGAGGATTTAAAAAAAAAAAATCACACTTCTGTTCTCTGTAAGTTTGTAATATATTTTCTGATAATACTTGTGTTTTAGGAGACCCATGGTTTGGATTTCTGTCTCGTTTTTTTTGGGATACTAAATCTCACCTCTATTGAACCGATTTTGTTTTGTTGTAACTGCTCACTCACATCTGCTATGAATAACCAACCTTACTGAATTTACAGGAAACCTAGAATTGGCATAGAAGGTGCTGAACTTGGCTCTGTGGTTTAATTAGGCTTTTTCTGTGTATTTATTGTTACAGTGGTTTATTTTCTCCATAAAAACAAGTTGTTGTGAACATTGCCTTTGCTGAACAGTACTTTCCTGCTTGAAATTATTATGTTTGTCCAGGGATGACCAAGTAAATTGTTGTTTCTTCATGGGATGAAAGAAAAGGAGGAAGCAAACGAGAACAAGGAGATAAAAATACCACCATATGATATTAAAACAGCCAAAAGAGGAAGTCCAAGTTAATGCGTATTTCGTTATGTCAGGAAATATGAGAAAGCAGACAAGAATATAATGCTATCTGGTTTGGTACATGCAGTGTTTATGCATCTTTTAAAAATAATGCATAACACTTAATTTGCAAGAGAAAAGAATCTGATACCACTATTCATATAAACAATTATGTTGTATCAAAAGATGTCAGTAAGCTGTGGGGAATGGAGTAACTAATTCATGTGGTCTTGGCTTCATGCATGGCTGATAACTTTTCCATTGCATTCTCCATGCAATGTAATCAGTAGCCCAAATAGCTAGGAACATGGTATAGATGCTGAGTAATGATTATTTAGAGGCACTTGGGATGAGATTGAAGTGTAATATTCTTGCGGAAGGAGCTAAAGAGGTAATATTTCATTTGGTAATTAGACTCCTATAAAGTTGTCCTTTACAAGTCAGGGTTTTCTGCAGTTTTATGATCTCTGGCTGTATTAAAAACAAGAGGCAGAGCAGGAAAACACCCAATAAAATTAAGACCTGGTAACCATTCTTTTGTTTTCAGGGTTAGGGCTTCAAGTGCCATTTGGTTGACCTGCAAATGAGCTGCAAGTAATTTTTGAGGAAAGAAATTAATTTGTTCAACAAGTTGTTCAAGACCTGAATTTCTGCTTCAGCAGTGAGGAAATAGCTCCCATATCTTACTGATTTAAAGACTGTTAAGAAGCTCTGGCTCATGCCCACTGAGTTCAATGAGAAACAGCTTGAATCCACAACAATTTGGATCAGGCACAAAATTATTTTGACAGCTTCAAGGAATGGGAATATATAGGACTATAAGGGAGTACAGTTGATGAAATCCTGGTCTCACTAAATTTGGTGGGAATTTTACTGTTCACTTAGAAAAGGCTGAAATGGTTCAGGATATATTAACTTATCTCAGTTAAGCTAAAGTATGATTGGGGGGGCTGGCTACAGAAAGCTCAGGAGGAAAGAAATTATCTCCTTCATCAAGGCTTGAGTTTTCCTACCAGCAAACTATTATTCTTTTCAAAAAGAGAAGAAATAATTCTCATTCCTTGAAAGTTTGAAAAAGCTCTATGCTATTAAATTTCTTTTACATTTTAATCCATCCTATCAAATACAAAGGGTAAAATCGACCCTTTTGCATGTACAAATACTAAGTAATTTCACAGGCATCACCCTCAGAAAAAATACATTCTTACTAATGATATGATCATGCATTATGCTTCAATACGACCCATCTGCAGATATTTAACACACTTAGCAGAATGGTGTAATAGTCCAGTGGTTCAGTGTAATTGCTACTTTCCTGCCCCTTGTGACCTTAATTTCTGAAGTCAAGGTTATGTGTTTTAGAGATGTACCCGACAAAAGACAACTAAAGAGAAGAAAATGAACTAAGGCCATCAGCAGTAATAACAACGAAGAATTAAAAATGTATCACCATTCTGCTTTTAAAATTACATATAACTTACATGCATAACAGTGTTAAGGTAGCTTCTTTTTCCATAATTGGATGCCTCCACAGTATACTCTATTATTTCAAATAAACACTGGAAAATTAGTTAGCTGGAAAACTTCCTTGTCTGAGACCAAAAGAAAGCTTAATTAGTATAAGTCCTGCGGTTAATATTTTCAGGGCCAAAAATGTAATTTTTGTAAAAAAACCCAACAACAACAAAAAAAAAAACAAACCCACCAAAACAAAAAAAAAACCACAAAACGAAAACCACAACAGAATTAAAAAAACAAAAACTAAACAAAACCCAGAAACAAAACAGATCAAAAAAACCCCACCACAACCCTTTCCACCCCCAAGAAAACTC